TCCTCCTCCTCCTCCTCCTCCTCCTCCCTCCACCCCTCTGTCCATTAACAGCCCATCCACCCCATCAGCCTACATGATCCACCACGCCGTCCACACCGCTCGCCCAGAGATCAACTGCGTCGCCCACTCCCACTCCATCCACGGCCGCGCCTTCTGCGCCCTCGGCCGGCCCCTCGACATCATCACCCAGGACTCCTGCGCTTTCCACGACGACCTCGCCCTCTACACCTCCTTCCGCGGCATCGTCCTCGCCGAGGACGAGGGCGTTGCCATCGCCGAGGCCCTCGGGACGCGCAAGGCCGCCCTCCTGCAGAACCACGGCCTGCTGACCTGCGCCCGGAGCATCGAGGCTGCCGTCTTCTGGTTCATGAGCTTGGAGAAGTGCTGCTACGCCCAGCTGCTGGCCGATGCAGCGGCCGGGGGTCGCGGAGGCGAGACGGTCAAGATTGACGAGAAGGATGCGGCCTACACGTACCAGACGGTGGGCACCGAGATGGCAGGCTGGTTCAGCGCGAAGCCTACTTTTGACATCATGGAGAGTGAGTCCGGGGTGGATTATAAGCAGTAGAGTACACAGGCATGTATGTATGTATGTATGTAGAGGACAATTTTCATTTCATTTCATTTCATTTCATTGTGCTGCACTCATTCGCGATTCGAGAGAAAATAATTTCACCTCATCGCATCGACTGGCTTTCCTTCGTTACTCGCCAATATCTGTCTGCTACCACGTGACCAGAATACCTCCCTCTCTCTCTCTCTCCCTTCCTACCTGGCGAAGGTAACCACCCCCATCACGAACCCCCATCACGACCTACGTGGACCAGATCTACGCAAAGCATCCAGATATCGCTGCTGCTGCACCTGTTGCCAGAACTGCCCCTCCTGAGGCTGCTGTTGATGAGAGCCTGGTTGCCCACGACTCATCGTCTGAGGCTGCATCCGAGAGACCTGGGGTTGGTGAGCAGCGGCGTATCGAGGCTGCTGTTGATGAGGACCCGTTTCACGAGGCTGCATCTGACCCTGGCGAGCAGGTGTGTATTGCTGATGACCACAGTAAGGCCCACTGCCAGGCGCGGGCTGGATCTGGGTGCTGAAGCCAGCCGGATACTGAGTCTGTGGGAAAGGCCGTTGTGGTGCTAACCCCGGGGACATCTTCCCCGGAGCAGGGTACAATGGAATCTGGCCGGCAGCACGCTGTGTCCCCTGGGCTTGGGGCTGTTGCCAGTATCTCTGAAGCACTTGAACTTGCGCAGCAGGATTGGGCTGCCGAGGTCGCATTTGCTGGGGCGGAGCTTGGTAGGGTCGGTGCATCTGAGGCTGCATTTGGGCCGTCGCCGGTCCCGGGAAGGGCATCTGCCGCGGCTGCGGGTGCGGTTGCAGAGCCGGTGGCTGTCTTTGCTGCAAAGGATTTGGTCCGGGAGACAACATCTGCGTCTGATGGGAAGCTCGACCAGGCTGCTGGACTGCAGGCACCTGGTAAGGTACCTGCAATCTGCGGGCTCCGGCATCCATCTGCGGAACCGGAGGAGAAGCTGGGATATGGTAGCCTCGGCCCATGGCCGGACTTTGGGAACCCACGGGTGGGCAACGCCTCTTCGTCAAAGCGCCTACCTGGTCAGGCGAGATGCCATCCATCGATCTCTTCACACCCTGCGCTATGGCTGGGATTTTCAGAACCGGTTGATGGCGAGGGTGAACCACGCCCGAGTCTGGCAGGCCCATCAGACGCGGAGCTCCCTGCCTAGAGCCCAATGGACTCGGTGAATTCTGCATGGCTCGAGTGCTCGATCTCATGGTAGTGGCATGCATCATGTTCATCTCTCTAGTCCCCCGAGTGGGAGGCAGCGAGTCTGGTGTGATCGGGTCTTGCTTCGTGGTGTCCGCTGTGGTAATGGGAGCAGGGGAATGCTGCTCCGAGATTCTCGTCCTGTCGCTAACGGATCGGACTGGACTTGGGAAAGGATGCTGCCCATGGATCTTGTTCGGCGCAGCCCCCCTGAAATCGACCTTCTCTCTCGCTTGGACTCGGGACTGGTGGCCAGCATCCACCAGTATCCCGGTGACACTCGTGAACGACCAGATGGAAATTATCTCGGGTGGAGCTGGGCTCTTGGGCCTCAGCTCAGGCCTACACTCTTGACAGCCTGGGCATCCGCCCTCTGGGTAGTCCCCGTAGCAGCCGGTAAACTTTTGCCAACGCGGATCCTACAGACAGACAACTGTTAGCGAAGCTTCGTACAGGCACAGATCAGATCGTACATCTTTCTTCACATGGCCGTTGGTGAACTGTTTTGGGTCCTTCGTCTTTGCCACGAACTTATAGAGCGCAGTGTCGTGCATGACGACCGCCCGATCACGCTCATCGAGCTCTTCCGTGGTGGTTGCACGCTTGAGGAGTCGATGGATCACCAGAGCTCGCATCTTGGTTCTTCGGCTGTATGTCCAGCACTCTTCTTGCGGGACAACAGGTCGAGGGGTTTTGGGCTCATTTGAGCTCGATGTGGCAATTCTCACACTGCTGATGTTCATGGCATCGGCGGAGGGAGTGGTAGAGGGGGTGGTGGAGGCAATGATGGTCGACAACTCATCGGTCGCGGGCGTGCTGGTAGGAGTCTTCCCCATGATGCGGGCTGGTTGAAACTTAGGATGGTAGAAGCTGGTTGGGATTTATGCAAAAGGACGAAAGAAGAGTTGAAGATTATGGTTGTGCGATGTGGTGTTCGAGGTTGAGGGGGGATGAAGGAGGAAAAAGGAGGGCTAGAATTTATAGTTGGGACCGTTAGCTAAGCGAGTGACTCCAGAGTCTAGTGACTTGACAATAGGAAGCGATGACAATACCAAAGTGCGACACAATAGGATCGAAATTCGTGCTGCTGGGCTTCGGCCGGTAGATTAATTGAACGCTGAAGACTTGGATTCTGAACTGACGCGAGGCCAAGTTTGGGGCTCGTCTTAGTATGATATCTTGAGTAAACATCACGAGCTATATATGAGCGCCACAAAATAAAGAATTCATCCCGTCTGGCACCATGTATTTCCTAGAAATAATAGAATGAAGAATAGTATGAGGAGATTTAGAGCCCACTTCGCCAAGGATGGATGGAAAATCTCAAATGTTGTATCGTGTATGCCATTATAAGATGGGGCCAGGAGCATATATGTGTGTAAAGCTCCTCACCATAGCCCATCACCATCTCATATCCAGCTTCTATATCTCCCTTCCACTTTCGGGACGCGATCTTCGCATTTGAATTCTTCTATTCATTGCATACATATCATATAAAAAATAGCCGAGGGTAGGTTCTGCCTGTCGGTTCCAGGGCCCAGAGGTCCGTGACGATGGTTTTTCTTTCTATCTAAGCCAGTGGCACACCTAATGCCCCTAGTCTAAACGGATCAAGCTGCACGCTATAACTCATCCTCATCCAATTCTTTTGGTCCCAAATCCCAGTCCCGAACTTCAACTACGGGTAGCTTGCGGCTTGCGCGCGTTTAATAAGCGAGCGACTTTATGACTGCCCTTTTGACTCCTTTCGGGCAAGCCCCACTTCGAATGTTTTCGAGGGAGGACTCATTTAAGTCTTGCACTTATGCTGGATATTGTGATGACGTTTGTAAACGATTGCTATGTCGGCCAGCAATGGCTGGCGTCACGCGCTATCATGGTGTGTTTGCTTAGTCTTCGGAGGAAGTATAGATATGGATTGTTATCCTCCTCCGAACTTTTCTGTGATTCACTTTTCCGTGATTCTTCAGCTTACAGTCACTCTCCGAAGTAATTACGTATTTAAATTTTTATCATTTTTCAACTAGTTCTGTGAATCTTCGGCTATCATCTACTCTCCTCCATATTGCATACGGGCACCATAATCAGTCGATCATCATCATCCTGTACTACCGGTCCATGCACACATTGCAGTATTACAATCCAGCCATGGGCCTCTATCATGTCGATACTCCCCTCACCAACTTTCGCCTCTTCTACAAGCTCCCTCAAGAGATCCGCGACATGATATGGAAAGCAGCAGCCGAAGAGGAAGAGCCCCGGGCAGTCCTTCTCTTCAGCAAGCCGCAGTTGTGCCGCCCAGTCGAGTTCTGTGCCGCATACGCAAATCCAGGGCTCTTACACGCGTGTACCGGCTCAAGAAAGGCAGCAATACGCAAGCATCCCCAGCATCTCGGCGCTCTCCTCTCCAACGCAACACACCCTCTGGCTACTCCGATCTATTTCGATAATAAGAGGGACACGCTTGTACTCGCCAACGAAGCAACCAGGGCCCTTTTGGCTTCGCTGAAATATGATCACCGTCTCTCCCCCGAGGCAAAGTCGAGCCTATCATATACGGATATGTGGAACTGCTTCTGCGACATCCGATCAGTTGTTGTTTTCGGAAACAAATTGCACTCGGCAGAGGCACTGTCTAGTTCCCAAGAGGAGACAACTGGGAGGAACAGGATCATTCTTGCGGCTCGGCACTTACTCGAGGGAAGAAGCGAAGGATCCAAAATCAAATCTTGGCCCAGGGACATCCATATCAGCCATGGTGCAAATTTCTGGTCCCAAATGAAACTTGCATCGATTTTAAGATTATCGAATAAGTGGGAGCTGGTGGCAAAGCTGCAATCCAACCCTTACATCCATTATGAGAGGATTGGAGGTGGTGGCAGGCTTCTTGTTGTTGGGCAGTTGGTAGGTATAGAGCGGCGGCGGTTGGACCGCAGGGAAGAGATGACCGACCACCATATTCAGTAACTTGGCGTCTCTTTGGATAGAAATCAATCAACTGAATAGCATCGGATATTGTGATGTTAAAACTTCAATCCGAATCAAGTAACGTGAGGCCAGCTACAAATAACTCGGGTAAATAATATTTCTGGAAGAGATCTCGACCATAGAAGTGACCAGCACAGGAGAGCGAGTCTGCCATCAAATATCCGCCCTACCGAAAAACTCGATCTGTTCGCAGATGCCACCAAACAGCATTCCAGATTTCCATACATTTATCTCATCCCAGCTGGCCACCTACTACCCGCCGCTTACCTTACCTCGCCGCGGATATCGCACCCTCCCCTCGCGTAACCTCCCCAGCCTCCTCCCCTCGGGGATCTACACCTTCAAACTCGCCCGCATCACTCCCTACTACCGCATCAGCTTTTCCTCTTATCACTCACCACATTCAGCATCACGACAACTTACAATAGACCTCCCAAAACGCCTTCTCGGTTCCGTACTGCACCACCTCCATCCCCCAGTCCGCGTCCTCCCTGATCGCAGCTTCCAGACACCTCATCCACACCCTCTGGACCTCCTCGTTCGCGGTCCCCCCCTCCAAGGCCTTGAAGAGCAGGTCCACGAGCCGGGACTCGTAGTTCCCCCGGCGGGGATCGACACCGGGAAAGTCTTGTTGCGGCCCTGTTACGCTCGCAGATGGCCCATCGGTCAGCTTGATGCTCATGCGCAAGAGAATACAAAACGCATGAACTTGCAGGCTAGCGTGCATCGATTAAAGTCGTTTTCTGTTCCAAGTCGACGCAGCAGTCCATGGAGAAGAAGAAGAAGAAGAAGAAGCCTGACTTACACAGCTGGGCCCAGGTATCTTTCTCTGCGAGGTAGTACAGCACATCGAACGTGACCGCCGCGCCGTTGGCCGGCGGCTGGTGTCGGTGGCGGAACGCGTTCACCATATTCGTCATGAAAAGCCTGTTGAAGGTCTCCTCGTCTATGCCGGAATCCTGGATCATGCGCTTCATGACCGGCACCTGGGAACGGTAAAATCGTGACATCGCCTTTTTTTTTAGAGTGGTAGTAGGGTTTTTTTCAGAGTTGTTGTTATGCACACGTATGGCTCAACATCGCAGTAGCCTACTTCGTACGCGTACTTATAATGCGATAGCGGGCCATGGAGCGAATGCGCGCTGTGAATCATCACCTTCATCGAAACGTATCAAACTGTTTGTCTTGAAAGAAGTATCATTCATAAATCATGAGCTAGAACACACCATAGGCAGTGAGTAAGTGAGTGGCAATCAAGGGGTTGGGAAGTGTTGACATTGGCAACATCTCGCTAAAGGGGGCTTGGCGGCGCAGAAACGAATCACGGCATCCCAGACGCAGCAGACTCAGACCTTGCGGGAAACACAAAGAGATATTACATGTACTTGTATTATTTCTTCCACGATTTTCTAGGTAAGTCGACGGAGAGGATCGCAGGTCCTTTTTATACAAAGACGGAGGAGGAAAGGACTGGAAGATTCAACCGCACTTGAAACGCGCGCGAATCATGATACGGATTCATTCATCCATTCATTCGCGAGACAAAATATTTCCATATTAAACATCGACAGATAAAAGAATGTTATACTTGATTGACATTAACCCAGTAAAAACGAAAGTATGTAAATACATGCAAGAATCACAACCACCAAAGGGAACCTGAATTCGTCCTCCGAAAAAGCTCACCTAAGCCCGTAGTCCTTCACCACTTCATCACTTCTCTCCAAGTTCTAAATTTCATATCCGCGCTATCAAAAAGCTAACAGGCTTAAAAAAAAACATGTAGAATAAGAATACGAACAACCCCTATCGCCAAAATCCTCTGTATCAATAACTTCACGACTTCGCGCATAACATGCACGAAGTACGAAGCAGACCCGTAACGCGGAAGCGATGCAGCCACGACCACGGCCACAGCCACTCGCGGTAGGGAGATATGTAGGTAGATAGATAAATAGATGGAGAGGGAGAGAGAGAGAGAAGAGGAAACAGCGATGTAAAAATAGGATGAATAAGGATAGCAAGAAATAAATGCATTGCGATTTTCTCATTGGGCTTACTCGGCTATTATCCCCTCCATCCACGTTCGGGACCTATAACCCAAAACTTGTGGACAATCATGCATCCATCCATCCTTCCGTGTATCTATCTACGTAGCAATCCTAACCAGGTAGCCGGTATATGGATAAGTAGCAAGCATCGAGTCGTCAAGACATCTCTCCCGCCTCCGCCTCACCAACCAGCAGATCATGCAGCCCGAGTCTTTCACCCCCAATCCCGAACACCGTAAAAATGCTGACTTTCCCTCACTCCCCATTTTGTCCACCCCTAACCCAATAGTCGTACAGTATGTCTATTACCAATGTATCGATTTCATCCTTTCATTCAAATCGTATCCCGGCCCCGGCAACGGAGCCAAGAGGGAAAGCAAGCCAACTGAAAGAAACCAAGGGTATCAATCAAAACGAAGAATCGAAAAAGATCCGGGCAGTACCGTAGTTGCTCGCTCGCTCATTCATGCCATTCCATAACAAAAAAAAGGGGAGGTATCAAGCATCAAATGTCGTCTGACTCTCCTACCCTCGTCGAAGTGCCGCCGTGATGCGTCGCTCGTTCATCCACCGCCCCCCCCACCCAAAAAATCATCACTCTAACTGGTTGCTCTCTCCGTCGCAGTTGAGATGGCAGAGATACGTATCTCCAATCGATCGACCCCCCCAAGCACAAACCTAATGCGTCTTCTTCCTCGGTCGCACTCGCTGCTCCGTCTTTTGCGCAGCCGAGTTCGGACCCTCGTGCTCGTCTCGGTTCTTCATACGCTCGCGAACAACGATGAAAGCCTTGATAACCGTCTCATGGCCCTGTTGAAACTCAGTCCAGCGCTTCAGCACTGCCTGATCTTCCTTGAGTCCAATGCGGTAAATCTCCGTACCGGCCTCGTCGGTCCATCTCCTCTCCTTCAAATTGTCGATCTGATTCTTACGAGCCACCATATGGAGCAGGAACTTCGAATTGAAGAGATCCCATTCGGTCATGTACTTTGCGAAGCGCTTGACGTATTCGTCATACGCTATACGGCTTGGAAGTTCAAACTGGCTTGAGACTTCCGGGAGATCAGGAGGCTGGGGCGCAGCTGGCATGGCCATGCTCGACATCAGGTCTCGGATATGTAAGTCGTCAAACTCGACATTGAGGTCTTCAGTGCCGCTTCGCGATTGGGATGCCGATGTCGAGGCTGATCGCTTGCTGGATTCGTTGTTGACCTTCAAGTGACCGTGGCCAGTAGTAGTCGTATACTGAGGGACCGGGTTGTTTGCTGGTGGCGTATCAACGTCCATGGGTTCCGGGCTGCCAACTCCGGAGGCCATGTTCTTGCGGCCAGCGAAGAGAGGCTTGTCATCAGAGCTGTCTCCATCGCTCACAACCGCTGCATTCCCGCCCATGGTGGGTCGGAGAGCCGGCCCAGTTCGCTTTCTGCTAGGTGTTGAAGCCATCCGAGGAGGAGGAGGCATGAACGTCTGCGGCTTGAACGTCTCCTTCCACTCATCCGCCGAGAACTTGGCCCCACTGGGGGATTCGGTTGAGTTGTCCGAATCACCAGGCTGAGGGAACTTGGGATCGATTGGTCGAGCCTTGACGGGTGATCTGCCCCGTGGCCGAGAAGCAGATTGCGTACGAGTCTTTTGTTGTTCGGGTTTCGGCTTGAAGTAGTCAGCTCCGGCCTCGAACTTCCCATCCCAGTCCTCCGGAGTGAACTTGGTGCTGATGTTATCCGCGCTGTTGCTGAAGCCATTCGATTGCTGTCTGGCTTGGCTGAACATATCATCGTTTACGTTGAAAGAAAAACTAGAGGTGCGGTTAGGGTAATTAGCCTGACTCTTCTTCAACTTATCAAGTTCGTCCCAAAACTCTCGCGACTTTGCAAAATCATAGGGGTGCACAGAATGGAGGTGCTTGGCAGGTTTCAACTTCTTCGAGGGGCTTCCCGGAGAAGAAGGGTCTCTGTACTCTTGCCAGGCTGTCTGATTTTGGTAATGACGGTCCTTCGTCCAGTCCCGACCGCTGGTACCGCGAACTGGTGTCTCAGCAAAGCCAGGACTGGGACGGGACTTTTCATTCAAGCTGCTAGTACGCTTGTTATGTAGCAGCTGGTCGACGAGGCTGCGTTGGAGGCCCTCGAAAGCATTCAGAGTTTGTGCATCAGGGGTGACTGCAGGCTGATCATCCATGAAGTACTTGGTGGGTTTCTTGTATGACAGAGGGCCTCGCGCGGCAGGCTCTTCGAGACATTCCGAAACTGTCGGAAGCTTGATAGAGAAATTTGGAACTTTGGAGGACTGGCGATCGGGATTGAGAGAATCTGAGTTTGCATACATTGTATCTCCATTATTCTGGGGTTGCTGTTGGGTTTGAGGCCTAGAGGACCGAGGAACAGGTCCATCTGGAAGCCCGTCAGGGGGGGGTTCTTGTCCAGGGTTGTTCAACATCCACTGCCTAAGACGTGCGCGCTCGCTTTGTTTGCTGTTAGTATTCGGTTGCGTCGAAGCATCGAATGGGCCTTGCGATGAGGGAGCTCTGTGGGTGGTGCCGCTGGCAGGAGCATTCATCTTGACAAAGCCATCCGAGCTAGACTCCGAACTGGAACCATCGTGATTCGGAGGCTCTGCCGGCTTCGGAGCTTTGGGAGAATGACGCTGAGCATACGCCCGAGCCTTTTCGACTGAACTCATATTAGAATCAGAACCAGCCCTAGGCATAAAGTCGCCGTCAAATTGCTGTGGACGCTCTCGAGTGCTCTTGGATCTGTTGACATTAGTGCTCTCGAAGGGATCGAACTTCTCTCCGCCATGAGTAGAGTATGGGGTACTGATGCGAGGTTCACCAGCCATTGCCTTGTCCTTGAACTGTGCTAAGGGATCAGGGACCGGTCTGGTTTGTCGTTGGGGGCGCGGTTCTCGAGGTGGCAGCTCAGGAGCAACCGAAGGTTTGTTGCGGTCCGTAAAGTAAGCCCCCATGGGCGCTGGTGGCTCATCTCCTCCGCCAGGTGTATTGGGCATAAACCCATTCTTCTTATTGCCTGCACTCGTGCTCTGACTTCTCCTCGGAGTGTTGGCCTCTCTATCTCGAAATTCTCGGAATTCTTGGTACGAGGGTCCAGCTTTGGGCGGGGGACCATGTCTCTTAGCATTGCTCTCCTCTCGACCCGACTGCGGCGTGCCTCGTGGCGGTGGTTCAGGAGCCTTCCACGTCTTACCCGGTCCCGGCTTGGGGTCCGACGCGCCATGTTGGTGTCTCAGATGCTCCCACGCCGTGTAGGTATCCTTCCTTGCTTGGGGGCCTTCTTGAGAGGCGGCATATGCAGACTGTTGCGGAGTCGTGAAATTCCCGTATCGTCGCGCACCCGTCGAAGGCGGAGGATCTCGCTGCCGCTCTTTGGCAGTTGGGGCTCTGGGCGGAGGAGGATAGGCGGAGGCAGCGTTTGCCCACGGGTTTCCCCTTACTCCTGAGGACTGCCCTCCGTATCTCGATGGCCGAATCTTGTTCGCATCGTACCTGGCTCGCTCTTGGGGGTCAATGAGGACTTCGTGGGCGGACTGGATCTTCTGGAACTTGGCCGTGACTTCACTTTCCCTACCCGGGTTGCGGTCAGGGTGGTATGTGAGAGCTGTTCGGCGGGAGGCACAGTTAGCTATGCTGTGCTGTGCTGTGCTGTGCTGTGCTATACAGTGCGGGTTTTCTTCTGGGACGATGCCCCTTCTGGCGCCTGTCTGTCTACTTGCCTGCTCACTTACCTAGCTTCTTGAATTGCTTCTTGATCTCATGAACCTCAGCGGTCGGGGGCAGATCGAGATCACCATAGTAATCTCGAGTGAGATCCGCCTTCACCATGCTAGCGGGGGTGCGTTGGCGGCCCTGGACGTATAGATCCTTTAGGGAAGGGAAGTAGAGGTGCGATGGAGGATGTGGAGGTGGACTCCGAGGCGCCCAGCGGCAGACGGGGATGGACGCCGCAGAGAGGAGGGATAGAGGACGTTGTGTTTGTATTGTCTTCTATTTGGTGGAGGCGGTGGTTGGAGGTGTTGTAGGTGCAAGGGGATCAGGTCGATATCGGCGTATCGCGATGACATTATATCTTGTTACCATGGCAGCCGAGCTCTGTCTTGGCACTGCAGGGATGTGAGGTGATGCGAATGGGTATACAGTGTAAGTACCGGTAAAGTACCAGCAAGGCAAACACGAGGTCAAAGTAAAGATTAAGAAATATTAAGAAAGATGAAGAAAGACAAAGAGAGACAAAGGCAATGTTCCAAAGGGAATTAACCAAGAGAAGTCCAGTCAATTTTTCGAAAAATATAATTCTCGGCGTCATGTCCCTCCAACGCTTCTGGTAGCGGCGGCAAAGATGTCACTTCGGCGTCCATATGACATCACCCGCCCGCCCACCAGAATGGGTTGGCGCGCTCGCGTCTGTGAAAAGTGTGAATAGCTTCAAGAATACTACTTTGAGCCTGGAGAGACGTTGTACGGAGCCCAAATTTACCCGAAATAAGTAAACATCACCTCCTCAGGTGTTTACGGAGAGCACGTGGGCATAGAAAGAGATTTTTCATATTCATACCTACTCACTACCCCAACCCCTGAAGAATACCACCCATATTTATGCACAGCCTGTAATACTCTAATTACTCCATACACCACACGACCCACCCGGCCCCCGAAAGAATTTACGTGCCCACAAGCTGATACACTCGGAAAGCCCTCCACCTCCGTTTGTCTCATCACCAAGTCATATACCCTCTTCGCTCCCTAGACCATTGAATCATAAGTCCATCCACCCTGTCTCCTCAGCTTGTCTCGCCCTTCGAGATCCTTTCGAATCTCATCCTCCGTCAACCGGTCTTGCCCAGTCCAGTTGGCACTCGACGTCCTGGCACGGAACTTGTGGAACCGGTCTTTACTCTTGCTGAATACCTCCTCCATATTCAAAGCACCCGGAAGGCCAAAAATGTCAGCCGGATTGATACCCTCTTGGGTGATGAGCCTCTCCCGCAAAGCAGGCGAGTTGGTCCACTCCACAGCAGGGAAGTCATTCGCTTTCGCATCCGCGTCCGCATCCTCGTCCTCGTCCTCCGAATCAGTAAGGATTTCAGGGAGCTCGATGCCCTCGCCATCCTGAAATCGGGGAGACGACTTGGCCGCCGACTTAGCACCAGACTTCCCACTGCCATTCGGTGCACCTGGACGAGCAGGGGTCTTGTATGGCTGGCCAGAGCTAGATGCAAACGCAATCGGTGCCTTGGAAACCTGAGCCATATCCATCGGATGCATAGGCTTGGATTGGTTCATCTGGTGTTGCTGTGAAATCACGGTAGAGCGCTGGAGGCTAGAGTTGTGTGGTACACTAGCATAGCCACTCGGGAAGAGTGACTTCGTGGGCGCCTCCTTTGTAAAGTCAGCACTAAATTCAGAAACGTGTTTGTTGACTCGTACCTTTTGCCGAACACTAGATTGTCGGATCGGCGGCGCTGTCATCTTTGGATGGTCATCAGTCATATTATCATCATCGTCAAACTCCTCGGTGGTCCTCGCTCTCTTGGACTGTTGCTCGTGATGGGATGGCGCATTTCGTTGCAAACCAGGGCGAGAAGTATGGTAGTCGTCGGCGTCGTGTTGAAGAGGTCGCTTCGGTGGAGCCTTGGTACTATGATGCATGGAACTGACTGGTCGGCCCATCTCCTCTTGCGATCGCTGGGCGGGGATCACCCGCTTGGACTGCAGTCCCTGCTGTGGCACGGGTGGGAGCGCCTTATCCAGGTCACCACCGGGTGGAGCGCGAGCTGCGGGTGGAGGAGCTCTAGTCTCCTTCGCCTTTTCCATTTCTAGTCTTCGCTTCTCAATAAGCTGTCGAGAAGCCGTTTTCTTGGCATCGGCAATGGCAGCAGCGCGCTCGTTTTCTCTCCGAACCTCACGTTGACGTTCGACTTCCTGCCGGCGTAGCTGCTCTTCCTTCCTTCGCTCCCCCTCCTTGATGGCTGCACGTTGTCTTTCAACTTCCAGCTTCGCCTCGCGCTTTCGTTGTGCCGCAAGCTCATCCTACGGCAGTTAGCAATTTTCATTTGAAATGGTGAAAAACACATACCTGCTCCTTCTTTCTCGCCGCCGACTCAAGTGCCCGAGAAGCAGCCGACCTGAAGCCGTTGGTAGAAGCTTTACTTTGAATAGAGCTGGTGCTGGCCTTGTGCCTAAGTCCATGGGAAGGTGCAGACTGAAGCGATGTGGAAGAATTTAGAGAGTCCTGGAGAGATGCGGAAAGTGTCGAGTTGGAAGGATGGTGGTGATGACCTCTTTGCGAACCTGTATCAACCCTGATAACAGTAGGTTTACCCTTCAGGGCTGGCTGGCTAGTGGCAGCCTTCAACGGTCGCTTTGCTGCTGGTCGTCCAATCTGCGATTTGGGTCGAGCAGGAGGAGGCATCGCTTGTGAAGAGGATGATTCCGACATCTCCGCATCTTTACCTGCAAGTTCATCAGTGCCCGCAGCAGCAGCCGCGATTCCCTCAGCTTCGAGCTGTGCTTTAGTCTTCCGAGGGCTATTACGAGTCGCTCGTGATAGGTCGGCTCGACTTGCTTTCGCTTGCTTTTCTTGCTCCTTCCTAGCCATCACCTCCTTCTGCATAGTTGCGACGCGCTCCTGCTCCTGATGGTACACACGAGCATCTTCTCGGACCTTCAATCGAACCTTGTCGAGCTCATCGTCCATCTTCTGTGCATCCTTTATTTCTTTGGCTTCCCTGGCCTCTGCCTCTTTCCTCTTTTCCTCTCTCTCCGTCGATGCTCGAGTCCTCCGCGCACTAGCTTTTGGTGGGCTAGCTGGACGATGGAGGGATTGCTGACTGTCTATGTGATGAGAGTCGAGTTTGGGGTACGAAGGACTCTTAGTCTTGGTTTGGGATAGGACATCTTCAAGTGAAGGGTTGTCATTCATGCCGATGCGGGTGGGTGAAAGTGCTGATGACTTGGCTTCCGCACTTACAGCAGCGCTACTCGCAAACAATCCTCTCGAGGTCTTCAGAATCGACGAGAACTTATCCTTTGCAGCCTTGAGAGGACTACCTTTGAAATTTCGCGAGGGGGATTTGAGCGGACTCATATCCTCCTCTTCGTCGACTGTATGAACAGGTGGGGTGGGATTGGAAACCGAGATTGGCTTCTTTTGCCCTGGAGACTCGCCTACTTTCTTGGGAGATTTTAGCACCGAGGTAGACACAGACTTCGATTGAGCGAGACTACTCGTAGTCTGATCCGAAATGTTTGGCTCACGCACGGGTGATGCATTTCGCTGTTTTTCGCCTCTTTTTGGAATATTGAACTCCGATCTACCGACGCTGTCCTTCGCATGGATCTGTTCCATTACATCCGCTGTATGGCTTTTGGAGAGTGCAGGTCGAGGACTGAAGATTGATGGCTCCACGACAGGCTGAGGGGGAGGTGGTCCAATCCAGCTGTCCTCCTCATCATCGGGGAATGCACCAGGCAAACGAGATTTCCGCTCAGGTGACTTCTGTCGCTCTGGAGATTTTGGTGGTACTTCTTGTGCGGTAGCAGCCTGGATAGGTTGGATAGGTTGTGACTGAGCCAAGCTGCTAGCAAACGATTTCGAGGGCCGTACACCTGTTTGAGACTGTCCGAGCTTGCTAATCTGATCCTGAAGTCTCTGTGTGGATGTCTTATTGTGAAGACGTGACATATTCGTCCCGGCATCGTCATGGGCAAGCTCATCAACATCCATCTCGTCATCACTGTCACCATCTTCAGGTCTGGAGGTGCCCAAGCTCCTTCCACCGGTAGTGCGTCCGTAGTAGCTAGTGCGGGATTGCTCCAGCTGGCTAGTCCGTGAGACCCGATTCCCAATGCTCTTCTTGGTTGTGAGAGGCTCTCGCGCCGGCAAAGACGCGAAGTTGAGACTGCTCTTTCGGACGATGGGGCGAATTGGGCTGGACCCTTCTGATGGAGATGGTGCATCGTCCATGTGGACATCATCTTCCTCCGGCACCTCTTCCTCTACGACATCTTCTTCTGCCTCGTCGGAATCAAGTTGGATATTCTTGGTAGGTGACAATTTGACTGGTGATTGTCTGACGGGAGATTGTCTAACCGGAGAAGACTTTTGTGGCGATCGTTTCTGTGGGGAAGCTGGCGCATTTCGATCTTGCAAAGGCGACTCAAGAACGGGGTACAGTGGCTCCTCTGGCTCCTGGTTATTCATTTCGTCCTCGCTCTCTTCCTCGACCTCTGATTCAACATCAACCCGTCCAGTGACATTTCGGGTTCCTTCTTCCTTCGCGGTCTCGAAAGACTCCTCTGGAGCTCTGCGCTCCTCGTCTTCCTCAGGCTCTTCGGTATCTCGACTCAAAATCACCACATTCTCGTCTTCTTCGTCTTCTTCGTCTTCTCCGTCTTGAGATTCTGGTGAGGGCGAAGATTCGACTGCTGCAGGTTTGTCAGGTGAGACCCTAGCAGTCTGGTGTCGAGCATGTAGTTCATTTGGCTGGGTCGCCTCATCGGCCTGACTTCCGTGATATCCGGAATCGAAGGCGTTGTGTGCCGCCCTGGTTGGAGACTTGTGTTGTGCCTTGGATGTAGTCGGAAGAAGCTGTTCGTCCTTATCCACCGGGTCTTCCGCCACCCGAAAAGTCGATACCGGTCGTTCGAAGCGTATTTGCTTGAAGGGACTCGCTCGGGCTTGGGGTGTTGCGGAGAAGACATCGGACAATGGCTGTATACTGTTAGTTGATGCTTTCAACTAGCCTTCATGCCACCTACTGCGCGCCCTTCCAATGGATTGATCTTCTTGGCCGTTCGTGGTGTCTTCCCTCGTAGTTTTCCAGGCGTTTTGAATATCTCGGCGACATTTCTGCAGGCTGGTCTTTAGAAGCAGCTCGTGTATGGAAGCGTGTTTACTTACACTTGGTTCTCGCTGAAGATCTCGGCCATGTGCTCATTCAGCCAGTCCACCTCGTTCCGCGCTGAGAACGTAAACTCCTCGGTTTCCGCCTGTGCAATCTGCAGCGAAGAAGTCCTCTCCTCCGTCACCCATGATGTGGATCCAACCTGTAGTCGCGCATTTCCTCGCAGCGGCGCCATGGTCTCGGATCAAAACAACGCGCTTGGAAGTGCAGTAGCCAAGATAATCTCGATGTAGAATTGGAGGCGTTGATCATTAAATCATTTCGTATTATATCGGGAGAGCTACCGCATTAGTCGCGAAGTCGTGGATTGTTGAAGTCGTCGAGTGGTGGATCTAGAAATTTGGTGTGGTGAGGTTATGTATGGGTGGGATACAAGGGCCCGCCGTCTCGATTGTTTTGGTCGAGCTCTGCGGCGCGTCGTGTTTAGTCACGTGCCGGGACTCGCATCAGACCTTATCAGTGTTGACCGAGTGTATCTCGATGAAGGGTATACAAATATAATTTGCTTTGATTACTGTAAATAAGTATCTCTCTGTGCCTGAGCCTATACCCATCGAGTTTCAGTTCCTTTTCTTCCTCCCCAAATGCCACGCACTTTCATTAGATGTCTGGCAAGAGCCAAGCGTACCCGGGTATCCTCTCCGAGAACCTTTTCTATATCTGTACCCCATCGAGGAAATACTTTGATGGAGACGAGTGGCTTTTCAGATACGCAGCTATAGGTTCGAGAAGCAGTAGCGAAGATCTGCTCAAATTATCCGGATGTAAACAATCTTCTCGCTTCCGTCGACTGTGTTTTGTTTACAGGTAATTTTTCTTTGGCTTGATATTTGATAGTCGATACTTATCAGTATAGCTTACTGCCCGTACATAATCTTACCTGGCCATTTGAACCTCACGTGGGAAAGTTGCAATTTCCAGGCTTGAGTATTGAGACTGTTATCATGTTTCCCATCTGTGCAGAAGAAAGGACTTGTCCTTAGTGATATCTTCTGTCGGGCGTTTTGATATTCATCTGCATGAATGTTTACTTTGCACACATATCTAATCTCTCGTGTGCCAGGAATACTGGACAGCGTACGATGAATCCGGAGAGTATCCCCATGAATTTCATAGAGATTTTTTCGAGAGTTGGCTGGATTGGGATTGCTTTGCCCGAGGACCTTGGTGGTTCAGGGCTTGGTATATCAGAAGCAACCATGATGCTGCAGATAATCTCAGAGTAAGACAGCTTCTAGTCTATCGTTCTTCATCATAGGTCATCATCATCATAGGTTAATACAAAAAATATCTTCAAGCTCAACCACTAGACATCTACGCAACGCAACCGGTAGCTAACTTCGCCACAGCTGAGTAACGACAACGTATGCTGCCCGACCTGATCAGTGGTAAATCTGGCGCCTGAGACGCTCAAACTCCGCACCCAAGCCACCCGAGACGGCGACCGCTATACGATTTCCGGGCAAAAGATGTAGGTCTCCGCGCAAAGATGGTTCTTCTCGCCCGCACCACCCCGCTCGAAGAAGTAACAAACCCTCCGAAGGCCTCTCGCCGTTCTTCATCGACTTCGACAAGTCAAAACAAGGCCTGGAACCAAAGCACACCTCCAAGATGGAGGGTAGGGCTGTGGACGCCAACGAGGTCTTCTTCGACAACTACTCCATCCCCGGCGACTCTCTCATCGGCAACGAAGACCAGGGCTTCAAGATCGTGCTCCACGGCATGACCGCCGCGCGCTGTCTCCTCGCAGGCGAAACCCTCGGCCTCAGCTACGCAGCTCTCTACCGCACATCCACCCACGCCAAAGACCGCGTCGTCTTCGGCCATCCAATCGACATGAATCAGGGGATCTAGCACCCGCTTGCAGACGGATACATGCTCCTCGAAGCTGCGAAGCTGGCGACGTACCACGCTGCTAGGCTGTACGACCAGCCGACGACGAACGTCAGTGTCACTCAGGCAGCGGCATTCTCGGCGCGTGAGAGGAGCATGCTGAGTCTTGGGGGAAATGGGACATGCGAAGGTGTATCATCTGGAGAGTGTTTTGTGCCGAGGATCGCGCCAGTGTCGAGACAGATGGTTAAGAATTATTTTGCGGATAAGGTGCTGAAGCTACCTATGATTTAATGAATATCGAGAGGGTGTAGATATATTCGAAGCCCTAAGTTGGCCTTTTTCTTTTCCCTTTGGATTTAGCATTCATAGTAGGAAACCGGGCCAAAATCAATGTCCAATCCATGCTGGAACATGATCCGAGGTAGTTTGGCTGGAGCTCCATCTTGCTCCGTACCGAGTAGGGGCCACTATATCCGCTCAGCATATGAGACTTTAGAAGGTATGGTCTTGTGCGGTATCCCTTTCTCCTATCTCACCAGAATCTCCAATCAAATTATATCAGCACTCATCCCACTCAATATCGAATACTGCCTCGCACATTGTACTACGTACAACAAGCCTGGCTCCCTTTCCTATGGATCCACTGCCTACCGCCACAAACTCCAAACTCCAATGCCTACGCCCAGATGCCGTCTCTACTTCTTCAAGGCCGCAAATCTCTGGGCCAACTCATCGACATCGGGTATGGTTCCACCAATAGGCTCCTTAATCTGTGTCCCCTTTCCCGTCCCGACATCCTGCATCTTCTTCGTGGGCTTCAAATCCAAAGTCCCCTTGACCCTAGGATGTAGATTATCCGTACTTGGACTGGGCGGATTAACCCTCAGCGGGCTCTGCGGTCCAAAACTCCTCGGCGGCGTAGCTTTGCTCAACTCCTCTCGCTCTTCGACCCCCTTCGCGCCCTCAACTCCGATTGGCGCCTCCATGTTCTTGTGCGCCTGTCCTCCACTCGGACTCTCATCATCATCATCATCATCATCATCATCATCATCATCCGCATAGCCAGGCGGCTCTCCCAACTCCGCCTTGGGCCTCTTGGGCCAATCCACCCCATACGTCCGCGCGATCTCCTCTAGGTAGCCGGTGACCAGCTCCGGCGGCGGCGGCGTGACGGCAAGCTTCTTCAGCACCTTCTCGCTAACCTTGGCATCGCTGTTCTCGAGGGCCTCCAGCGCAAATTCCTTCCCGTACTTCTCCACCAGCAGGTTCCGCACCTGCTGCAGCTCCTTCACATCGGTGCGCGGGGCGGCGTATATCAGGCTCTTGACGGCCTCCTCTAGTCCTGGGTCGCAGGTCCTCTCTTCCATGAGACCCGTCCGCGCAAGCAGCAGTTCGCAGTAGAGCTCGAGGATCTCGTGGAGCTCGGTGGTGATGTCGGAGCGGATGATATTCTCGACGCGGATCTTGGCCGACTCGATCTTGCCGGCCTCGAGAAGCTGAGCCATGGCGCGGCGCTGTTGCTTGGATACGGCTTCGTCTTTCTGTTGGACCATGCGTAGACGGGCGATGGAGAGCTTCAGCTGCACCTTGAGCTTGGCCTGGGTGGAGGGGAGGGATCTATTAGCAGGGGATTGTACACACGGTTTTGAAGGCATCCTTACGATGATTGTAGAAGCGGGCGCCATTTCCGAAGAGGTAGGGGAGGGTTAGTTGGTGAGGTTGACAGGAGGACTCGAGGGCGTTGAAGGGAGGATGATATCGAGGCCGAGGGGGTAGAGGGGTAGGTACCTAGGTAAGTACAGAGGTACCGGTACTCAAATGCACCGAGCTAAAACAGGTGCACACATTGAAAGTAATTATAGACGTAAATGCAAATATAAATATATACAACACCACATAAATTTTCCCTCACGCCATCTCCTCCAGCTCTTCTGTTTGTCACCCGGTACTGTTACTATCACTGTTACTGTCACTGTCCGCCACTCCGTACTTCAATTGATCCGACCCGCCACCGACCTCCACCCGCTCCACTCCACTCCTAACCTCATATCCTTCGATCCCTATCTCCATTCTCTCCCTGATTTATCCAGACCCGATACCATGGCGACGTACCGTTCAGCCCTCAATCAGCGGCCCTGGGAACTCTCGAAACCCTCAAATCTACCCGGATCCGGATCCGGATCCGGATCCAGATCCCCATTCCCCTCGACCTCCATCTCCACCCCATGATGGCGGCTTCAAAGACAAAATCCGGCCCCAGAAAGGCTGCGGACAAGATACAACGATGGCTGGAAAAGAGGGCGCAGGCCATCTGGACCAACCTTCTCACGAACCATCTCTGGCAACGGATATTCAAGAATACGTTGGCCACCACAATCACAGTCATCATAGCCCTGATCCCGGCCGTGGTCCAGGTCTACGGCCCTGCTGCATATCTGGCTCCCATCACGACTGTCTTCGGACATCCAGGCAGAAGATTCGGCATGATGGCAGAGGCTCTTGTCCTCACCCTCGCCGGGACGCTGCTGGGAGTAGGCTGGTCAGTCCTGGGGATATACCTCTCGAGTCTCGTATACGAGGACAATGCACCGGCGGCATATACAATCAAGGCTGTATTCCTGACCGTGTCATTACTGTTTCACGGATTCTTGAGGTCGCATACTCCGCGGCTGTTCATCTTTGTCCTCTTGCTGGTCATTGTCACGGTGGTTAGCTTGTCGGGAACGTATACAGCCGTCTCTGCCGCAAGTGTCACGACGATTCTGTACCCGGTTCTGACCGCATTGGCCATCCTCTTGCTCGTCAACGCCCTCGTATTCCCGGAGTTCTCGAGCAGTTTCTTAGGTACCACGACCATTGAGACCTTGGGAGCCACTGTGGGTGCTGTGAGAGATGCAGGGAAGTACTTTATCTCTATCGCTGTAGAGCCTGATGCAACGGACGTGAAAACAAGTGGAGGGGGAGGAGGGGAACAAAATATTGCGAAAAATCCTGCCGAAGCAAGAAACGACACGTCCACGACAATAGAAGCTTTTAAGCTCACTAAACTCAAATCTCTAATCGATGCGAAGCCAAAGCTTCGAGCCAAGCTCGCAGGCTGCAAGGCAGCTCAGCAGGAGTGCAATTTTGAGCTGGCTTGGGCCGTCCTACCTCCGAGAGACCTCAAGTTCATCAGTGCCACGAGCATGAACAACCTGGTGGCAAACGCCATCGCCTTGATTGCTGCCTGCGAGAGTAAGTTTGCTCTCATGGGTGATGCACATGAACAAAGCGATGGTGAGAACGATACCGGGCATGGAGTCGCGACTTTGGTCGAATTAGCCGGAACTGAAAGCGATGCTGTTTCATCCCGGCCCGGTACTGCAGTAGAGAGCTCCCACGACGAGTCTGCTGACGAGAAGCGTGCTGCGCAGCGACGGGGAGATCGAGAGAAGAGGCAGAAACCACAGAGAAGCAGGAACCGGTTTCAGAGGGAAATTGCAGACTTGGAGATGATCAAGCCCCACAAAGAGATTGAGTCGGGCGACGTGGAGCTGTTGAAGTACCTCGTGAGCAGAATATCCAAACCTCTCTCAGAACTTCAGACTGCCCTTGATCAGACTGTTGACGTAGTCACGTCCTGTCTAGCCTACTGCTACGATGTACCCAAGCTTCCGTCAGGTGCTCGAGCTCCCTCTGGTATTAGGGTGGAGGAGATTGACATCCGTGTGGACATATTGACAGAAGCTATGGCGGCCTTTGACAGAAATTCTGCGTTGGCTTTAGAAGCTGCCGCTTCTCTTCATGATCTGGAACACCCACAAATAGATGTCATGCCTCGGATGGAGACTTTCCTGGTGTCATCTTTCCTTCTCAATTTTCGTCAAGCTGCTTCACATATTCTGGAGATCCTTCGCCATTCGAGGCAATTAGTTGAGAAGCGACAAGCTAGGCATGGTCGATCGCGAATCTACGCTCCTAGAATCAACTGGCGCAAATGGCTCGTGTCTGGCGGAGAGGATGAGCCCTTGGCGTTGCCAGAAATTGCAAGAAAAGATGCGCGAACCGGGAGAAGCGACGGTGATGTGCAAGATGTTGATGACGGCTTTGTTGCAAGCATGGAAACTCATGTGGGCAACCAGGATATCGAGTCCGCGCCTCCGATTGACAGTGGCTTACAGTCACCACATACACCTGTACAGTCCCCTCCCAAGGCCCATCGGCAGGCCAGGAAATCAACTACAATAGATCGGGTCCGGAGTGGCCTTGCGGACATTCTTGAGTATTTGGCAGCAAGCGAGGATTTCATGTATGCCATCAAGCTGACGGTCGCCGTTTTCTTGGTGACTTGGCCCGCCTTCGTCCACAAGTGGAACGCATGGTACTCTCTCAACCGTGGGCTTTGGGCTGCTCTGCAGCTTGTGTTGATTACAGAGGTTGCGATCGGAACATCGGTCCAGACTTTCATGCTTCGCGCTGTGGGAACCACGGTCGGATGTGTATGGGGTTATGTGGCTTTTCAGGCTCGCAACGGTAACAAAATCGTATGCGTGATCCTTCTTGTGATTGGCATCATTCCCTCAACGTACATACAGCTTGGCAGTAAATACGTGAAAGCCGGCATGGTGTCGATCATCTCAATGTGTGTTGTGGCTCTGGCAACCGAAGATCACACCGTTCCCGGAACTGCAACAGAGAATTTCTTGAAACGTTTGATTGCTTTCTTGATCGGTGGCGTCGTGGCATTGATGGTAGAAGTCCTACTCTTCCCTGTCAGAGCCCGAGACCGACTCGTGGAGTCTCTAGCCGCATCCATCTACCAGATCAGCGAGATGGAAGCTTGCCTTGCTCACGGTGTTGAAACAGGAACTAACATCGACGTGCACTCTTCCCAAGTCAGAATCCGGTTCAACAGGGCCAAAGCCAAAGCCCAGGGAGCGCTGATGGCAGCTGGTACTTTCCTACCCTTCTGTGCCCAGGAGCCACGCCTCAAAGGCTCCTTCAAGGGCCTCGCTCTCATCTACGCCGAGATCCTCTTCTGCCTGCACACCATTGTTGATAGGATGGATAACACGATCCATCTCCGCCAAGAATACGGCTCGGGTGTGTTGGAGGATCTGAATGAGAAGGTATATCCTTACCGGCGCAACGTCGCTGGCTCAATCACCATCGTCCTGTTCGCGGTCCACGAAGCGCTCACTACTAAGCTTCCATTGCCGCAATTCTTGCCTTCAGCTCGCCTCGCCCACCTCCGCATGGTGAACCGGGTCCGCGAAGTCGTCCTTGCAGGCGACGTCCACCCACTGCACTCGGACCGCTCTGAGCTCGAGATGACGATGGTCAAGCGCATCGTACAGCAGAAATTCCTGAGCTGGAACGCAGCTAGTGCGGGGCAAATCGAAGTCATCGAGTACCTTGAAGAACTCGTTGACCTGGTCAAGCTTTTGGTTGGAGCCAACGAGTTCCGTAGTGGGCTGTTGACAAGACATAATTACAAAGGATTTGTGGATCGAATGCACGCCAGCTCGATGCGCGGAGCTGGCGAGGAGGCCGAAAGAGAGGAAATGGAAATGAGGGATGTGATGCTGGAGCCGTCTGAGGCGAGGATCTCGGGGCTGGTCAAGAGACGGACTACGTTCTCCAAGAGCCGTGTGGATAGAAGTCTTGGCCATGCTGAGAAAGAGGCTGAGATGGAGAGGGTCAGGAATGAGGAAGAGTTACCGAGATCGTTGCAGAGGGTCAGGAGCCGACGAATCGAAGAGCTGAATCTGTTGCGGACGAAGAGTCCAGATGGGATGGGGATATGAGGAGACCTGGAGGGAGGGAGAGTGCGGCCGGACCAGATAGTTGCTGATGAAGATGAATCTCTCTATAGAAAGAAAAAAAAAAGTAAAGTAAATACACAAGAGTCGACTGTAGGCTAGTCTTAGCGGGGTCACGCTCACCCCACTGACTCTTTGTGAGTGATGATCAGCCCGGCTTGAACTTCAAATTCGCGCGCACAACTTGAGATTATAGCAACATCAAGACTGCCCGCCGTCCAGCCTCCACCTTCCACCCTCCACCGCGGCGCAACTACATCCTCCATGTAAGGCATCAACTGCCCTACGATGGATTCCCCTTGGAAATTCGAGCAGTACACGCCCTCTTCGGCCTGTGAAATCTCCCCGCCTCGACCTCTGGACGCCGATGTTTGTCACTCCTGAGCCATCTCCCTCTTCCCCCTTCCCCCTTCCCCCTTCCCCCTTCCCCCTTCCCCCCTTCTCCCCTTCCTCCCCTCCTCCCTCCCCCACTGACTGCAAATACAGCAATTTGCCAGTGAAAGCGCCGAGGTTGTCAGACTCACTAAGCTCCTCGCCGCTCTCCCCTATGATCCCGAGACCTGGCTGAATCGGGGCAACTGCCTCCGTCTCCTCGGCTATCCCGAGCTCGGCCTCGGCGATACATACAAAGCCCGCCTCTTGGTTGAAGCTGGCCTCCTTGACACTGACACCGACACCGACACCGACACCGACACCCCGTCGACTCTTGGAGATCAAGTCCGCCAGGCCTACCGCAAGAAGACTCATGCCCTGCACACCACAGATCCGGCCTGGATCAAATGCGCTTCCGCCGTATCGACGCCTGAGCTACTCGCCCAAAGAGCCAACGAGATGCTGAAGAGGCTCGAGTTGCAAATTTGGACGGAGCTCATGGAGGGATTGATGGCAGCAAATTGCTGCGTCGACTATGGACGGATGAGTCGCGAAGCGGTAGATAAATTCCCAGAAGATGAGGTTTTCCCCAGTGAAGTCGCCAACGCCGATGCATGGTATGCTCAGCGGAAGGACATCTTACAGCCTCAAGTGGACAGTGGAGAGATGGCCGAGTCACAGATGGCGTCGACTATCTTGAACGGAGGAGTATATCCAGTCGCGTACCCGTTCATGACCGAGGACCTCCTGATTCGGAACGAAGAGGTGTTCCAGGGTATCGTGGAGGACTTCGAGAGGGCTTCGACGAACGGTACGGTGGTCCGAAGTACGATTCGCAACACTACAGGAGCCGACGGAGAGGAATTCACCGAGGACGATTGCATCGGCGTGGTCGCGACACGAGAGATCGCCACAGGCGAGACAATCCTAATTGACAGAATGTCTGCCGGCACCGTGGCTGTTGATGCGGATCCCAGCGGTTGCCCGACATGCTGCGCCAGCCCCGTTGAGAGTTTCCGGAACGCCTGTTGCAACGTCCTGTACTGCTCTCAGGTCTGCGCCGATGTGGCGTTGGAGACTTTCCACGTTCCGATCTGTGGCAAAGACTTCGAGTACCTCTACACCGCTGCGAGGACAGCAACTGCCACGACCGATTTCTCCCTCGACGCTCTCTTGCTGATGAGGGCCATCGCCCTCAGTCTCGCGGAGGACTTGGGCCATCCACTCCAAAGCCAAGCCATGGTCAGACTCACGCCCGCCTACGGGTTCCGAGAACCCAACCTCATCATCTTCAACTTCGCGGACCACATCCAAACGCCCATCTCGATCCTCCAGACCCTCGGCATCAACATCTTCACGAACCCGCTCTACGACACCTGGGTCCTGCACACCATGAGGTGCCGCCTGCAGAATAACAAGCACGGCCAGACCCTCGGCGACTGGCCGGGCACCGGCATCAGCGGCCTCTACAGCATGCTGAACCACAGCTGCAGCCCGAACGTCGACTGGCGGCACGACTCGGCCAGCAGCGAGGTGACGCTGTTCGCGACGCGGGACTGTACGATAGGAGAGGACCTCTGCATCAGCTACATTGGACCCGCGGGTAATGCTCTGCCGGTGGCGGAGCGCAGGAAGAAGCTGATGGGCTGGTTCGGTATGCCTTGTCGGTGTGCGAAATGCACCCGGGAAGCTTTAGCTGCTCACGACGAGGTCCTGGATCTCGCTGCTGCTGCTACTGCAGAGCTAACATTGGAGGAACCTGAAGAGTGAGAAAATTATAGTATCTACTGTACGATAGGGGGTAGGTTGTAAGAAAGGCGAATGGAAGATGTTTTTCGTGATTCATACAACTTACTATGATGGTTTTTTCTTTTCTTTCTCTTTTCAAAGCTCAAATTTTACCATCTATTGGGTCTCACATGCTGAAGGCCGACGAGACAGCATTCCTGTATCGGACGGTGTTCTTGCGCTTGCTGACGTCTTACTCCAAGCCTTCCCTTCCTCCCTCCCTTCTCTTTCGATCTTACTTATTTTATTACTCCAGCTTGCGCCGTATACAGGCCCTTCCTATCTTTCTTAAAGTGCTCGATGGCCTGAATAAACGCTTGATGATTAAAACGCAAAAAAGGCCTCGCTTTCCGTAGATTAAAACGAGCGCGAAACAGCGCCTTTTTTCTGATCTAACGATTAGCCGAGAGCTTTTCGTAATGCAATAAATAAAAAATATCGAATCTAACACATAAGTAGGTGCATAGACATCCCAAAAGGGGGTCTTGCTGCGCCGACGTAGCCACTTCGGACATCGATCGTGATGTTGTCAGGATCCCGAAGCCGAAGCGGCTACGAAAATTCGGGCGTTGAGTTTTTCCATACCGAATGAAGCTGGAAGGTGGGAATGATGAATCGAAAAGTTTGAAAAGCGAATTCGGAATTGCTCGATGATAATCCCCGGTGAGATACGTGAAATTCGGGGGCGTTAACGATCAAATTGTCCGCTAGACGGTAAATCAATACCACTACTACTAGTAACGGTCAAGTTCTTCGGGCTTCCAATATTACGAATAGAAGTCGCGGTTAAATCGGTGTGTTGAAGAACGATATGTCGAAAGTATAATTTTACAAGGGATCTTACTAAGTCTTACACCGATTAGCTTATAAAGATTCAATTAGCCTTTGAAAGTAGCTTTGGGCTAGTATTCAGTCTGTGTAATAGAGTTGACCGGGCTTTAAGCTACCACGGTACAGGCCTAAGTATTACCCCTCGAGGGTGCCTTAAAAGTTTAGTTTCCACTTTAAAACCCCTGTTTTCCCTACCCTCGAGGGGTAATACTTACGCCTGCGACGTAGTATTTACGTAGTACCACGGTACAGACCTAAGTATTACCCCCCGAGGGTGCTTCAAAAGTTTAGTTTCCACTTTAAACCCCCTGGTTTCCCTACCCTCGAGAGGGAATACTTACGCCTGGGACGTAGTACGTACGTAGTAGTAGAAACCAGCGCTCTACGATCTAGAAGTATAAAGCTAAACTGGGTCCGACATTTATTCATGAGATACCGGCAGTAGCCGATGCGCTGAATTAAAGATCATCAGATAACTCTAACCAAACGGGGGGATCCCCACCCTTCAAGATCTGCCTTTATACCGGGGGGAAGCGAACTTGGCTACGTCTATACTACCGGTACAGTACTTAATACCACGGTACAGGCCTAAATGTTCCTGCCTGCAGGTGCTTTAAAAGTCTAAATCTCCACTTTAAATCCAAGTCTACACCCGCTAGTAAAGCAAGTCTACACCTACTGGCCCCATTGGGATATACTACGTAGTACTAAGCGTAGACCGTACAAGCGGCCACCTCGGCGAGACATGAATGATCACCTTTGCTTGATGAACGAGACTTAAGAACCGTTGTTTCCTCGACAAGAGAGGTACTTAGCTATACATCAAATTTTGGCTGTAATGTACCAAATTTGGTATGTAACCTGAATACCTCACCGAGGCGAGGCGACTTCTAATACGGTCTACGCCCACTTTACCTAATAGGGTGAATGGGTATAGACTTTACCACTGTAATGGGTGTGGACTTATCAGTATAGTCGTAGCAAAGCTCGGGGAAGGGACTGAGAAAAGGCGGCCGAGGCGTTCCTGGGTCGTATGGATGAAGTCAAGTTTGAGTCGAGTTTTTGAGTGAAGTTGAGCCGAATCTTAATCGAATCAACTTGAACTGAGCTTTCCTTGGCTGGGCGCAGTCGATAATATTTGTCTTCCCAGATAATGAATCGGTTTAACGATTTGGAAAATGACATGATATGGCATGGCTGCAGTTACGGAGGGACCCGTGCTTTACTTCTCTGGTACCTAGGTACTTATGCTACATAGTAGTTCCAGAGCTGGAATGGAGCATTAATAGTATCACGGACTGATCAGCTCTAATTGTCCTAGAAGACTCTGGAATTGGAGGTTAAGAATACGCATTTGCAAGGCGGGGGAGGGTGGGCAGCGGAAAGTGCGGTGTAGTGTACCTACAGCGTACTCACTACTACAACTGAAAATGCATCCGTCTAGACCCCGATTTTTACTTTATTGACCTTCTTTTCTATAACCTAGATTTAAACGATCACACCGCTCTGGGATGAATTCAATTTTCACGCGCAACAGGCCAGGACGGGATTTTATAGCCAAGATTCTGTGAGCGCATAAGCCTCGGGAGAAACGTGGCCGAGTAATTTACTTACTCTCTACAAGTCACCAGCCCCTTCTTAAATAATTCTAATTTTTGGCCGTGGGATAAGTTGACGAATTCATATTCATAGTACTTCAAGGGACGGGATAGTATGTATGTTGTTGTGCGCAAAAGCAGACCTCCAGTGCGCACTGCAATTCCCAGTATCATCGCCCTACTTACCGCTCGATATATCTTATTATGCTCTGAAATAGGTCTTCTGCTTTATAATTTACATTGCTCTACTTTACAGCCTTTACAGACCCATCTCGGCACCTTCGTACGCCTACTCCGTACAATTGGCTCGCCAGGTATGCATGTCGGGTTTGTAGCTGTAGCTTTGCATATACAACTTAGCAGACGATAACATCAGACTTCAGTCGTTGGTGATCCAAGAGTCTATGCGCGGAATAAAAAACTCTCATACGTGATCTTTAATTCTTGACTTTCCTCGGATATGACAAACGACAGTTGAGGCGCAGAAGCATCTGCAGACTCTTGTCCAGTCGACGAAGGGGATGCCAAAAGTCTTTACGGACGAATCTTTCACTATAACTATTACGAATCGTGAAAACGCCTCGGGCCATTTCTGTGATGTGATAGGCATGCGAGGAGAGATATTTAAAATCCGTTATGGGTAGAGGAAAGGAAAGAGAAGAGAAAAGGAGCGCCGAGAGGTTCGGGGACTGGTGGATAGATAATAAGAGAACGACACAATATGACTTCATCTTCACTTCTTGCCTCGTCTAGGCTATGCTAAGTCCAAATTTCCCTTTCTCGTGATAACGACCTTTCCAGCCTGAGAGTTACTTTTCCGAGCATGAGTTAGAAAAGTAAAGGTTGAGTTAGATGAAGTCAATCTCACGTAGCAGTCCAGATTTCTTTCGTGATCTGCCCAGAGATAAGGAAACTTCTTAGTTTTCCTTCGAGCCGTTGGCCGATCTTAATACCAGCAGCCACTGGAAGAAATGGCCGAAAGTTTGAACAAGGCAGCTAGTATCTCTTAGGTACTAATAATGCTAATAATATAAATACTTTGGCTGAAGCTTCCCAACTCCTAAGAGAACTACCGAATCAGTATAGCGCTTGATAGTGACTGTCCGCCTGACCCGAGCGATGCGATACACTTTGCCAATCTTGCTTCGCCCTTTCGTATTGGCACGGCCAGCCAAATATACGCCTGGCCAACCATTTATCGGATCGCAATCTTTGTTCTTAGTTTTGAAAAATATCAATACATGGAATTGAATATGCTGGCCGCACGAGTAAGCTCTTGGCGCCTTGCTTTCCGGAAAGCGGCCATTACTAACATCTTGGTGCTGGCTCTGCACGCAAGTTCGAACATGTTCAAATGATATGCCGAATTGGTATTTCATTGAATGAGTTAAAAAACGACATTTAGTAGTCCAAAATCAGCCCACGGGAAAACGCTCGTATTCTCGAACGTTGGCAATGCCGAGATACCTCGTATACTCAAATGGGAAACTTGGCCCTTCGAAGGGAATGTGGAGATATAAGGAAAGAGAATCAGACTGAAGTATATCTTTTTATAGGAAACTGTCACTTCCATCCTTCTATTCGCATTTCTCACAAGCTGCGCTTTCAATTCTTCGTAATTGGTTATCTTTTTTTATCGCCTTCTTGAGTTTCGGTAGTATTATACTTTTCTACCTTATCATCTTAATACGAATTAAAGATTCTTGGCAGCATGACTAAAAAGGCTATTGCTGTTGGTAAACCTTATACTAACTGTAAGTCTGGCGTTGAGATCACCTGCGAAGTTGACTTAGAAACGATACGATGGAATAGACCCTCGGAGCTAGCTGCGGCTCATAGTCCTTCCTGCTCTCAAGAAGACAGTTGAACAGAGCACGAGGCCCTGACCTCCAAATACCAAGAAGGTCATTGCCCGGTGTAGAACCACATCACCCCGCAAATAACGCATTAAAAGGAATTGACGAGCGTAACGGAACAATGATCTTTGGTAATAGAACTTTGGTCGGTATGCTAGCGCGGAATAGCTGAGTTGGTGATGACATCGATGAATAACTTCTGAAGATTACGAAAAACATCTCCGCTTCTCCATCCTTTACAAATATGCTCAGTTCCGCAGGAAAAAGGTGTTTTCTTTTAGCACGGGCAGAGCGCACCTACATATCTGGATGTCTAGACTTTTCCGAGTGGTCCGGCAAAGGCTCTGCTCGTTGCAGCTTATCGCAATACATTCATACCACAGAGCATGCGAGTACGAATGACCATACATGTCTTCCCTTATATACTGTTTCAGAGACTCGAAGATATTAACTATCTACATTTCGAATCCATTACGCACATGGATCTTTCTTCAAAGTTCTACGAGCTCAGCTTTATTTCATGATTAGAAAAGTATCTTGGGAATAAGCGCTCATAATATGATCTTGCGTAACGATTAGTGATCCAAAGTCAGAGATTGCGCTGCCAATTGTCACGATATATCTTATATTGTGTTGACTTTTAAATCGTACACAATCAAAGAAAGATCAGCGAAGTCGAAACATGCAATTTAATCTCTAGTACGCGTACCGCCTTAAAGTGGTAAGAATCCACACTGCATAAAACCATCTCCTATGTTCCAAAAAGCACAGGCGTCCCCAACTAACCCTACGCTCCAAAACTCAGGTCCAGGGTATGCCGAGGCTCTGCTACGTAGACCAGAGTATCCAGACTCGAGCCCTTCAACCTGGAAAATAATCAGCTCGGAATCTAACGTATCGCACTTAAAGAGCACATACCTGACTGCTTAGCAATCGGAAGTAGCGGCGAGCGAGCGCCTAGCACTTCCAGACGTAGGTGCAGGAAGAGCCAGCCGGGCTGCACGCAATTCTTGGACCATACTCCCCAGCTCTGCCCTGGCATTGAACCTCTGGATTGAAGACTGAAAGCTCGTACACACAAACCCCACTATCACCACACACTCCTTCCATGTTGTAAGTCTTCGGCACGTATTGTGCAGCGATGAGTGAAGGCGCGAGAGCGGCGATGATGATGTTGAAGAACTGCATATTCGCGGGATAAGGATTTCGAAGTCTGGAGAAGATTCAAATAGAAGTCGAGATAGAAGCTGATGTGCTATAAAGATGCGTGCTGATGAAGATGTCTGCTGATGATGGTAACGAAAGTGATGTGTGTTGATGATTCCTTTTATCGAGGAAATCTATTTTATATATATTCATAATCCAGCTTGCGAGATGGGTAAGCTGCGGAAGACCCTCACGGTTTGAATTCGTATACACTCTTGGCAGCTAATCTAAACAAGCAATGGAGATGCGAGACAAACGTCTCAAATACCTAGGCAATACCGGTAGACCGCTTTGTTTCTACGAGTCAGTCTATCATGATGAAGGGATATTCTTGGCACGCTTGAGCCATTTCTTCAAGTAAATTCTAGTTGCAATCCAGTTTCAACTAACCTTTATCCCGTATGAACTGCTATTTAATCACTCCTTAGTGCTGGTTTGAATGTCTGAATCGCTAGTTTGTAACTGGATACAAGGTGATTCATGTTGTTGTTATAATTATTACCGTCAGGCGGGTAGCAGGCGAAGCCTGCTGCCCTAGGACCTCTTATAAAGTATAACGGCGTGCTAAGCTAAAGAATTATATAAAAGAAAGCTTTAAAAATCTGTTTAAGATAGTGCAGAAAGAGCTATTATCATCTACGTCCTTTTCTTATAGATAAATGAATCATAATAAGGAAAGACTCTCTTATTAAAAGAAAAAAAAAAATGAAAAAGAAAGTAAAGCAAGTGCAGATTACCGTAGCTATCATAGAAGCATAGCTGAATTAGAGTCGCAAGACAACTAATATCAAGGCCGGACCGGGGTTAACCGTAGGTGGATATGAAACTGCTTAGAAGAGAAAAGAAAAAGAAAAAGAAAGTGTTTGCAATTATAATTAAAAACAAAACCAAACTCTAAGAACAATCTATTTATATTATATGATGATATCAAAACAAGTTTCCTTGGAAAGACATTATGCTGCCTTAAAAGGTCCTTAGTCTATCGCGTTTGCTAGCTTCTATAGCTTTTCTAAGGCGAGGCGTGCCTCGTCCTCCTTATAAAGGCAATATCAGTAAGCAGCTAAAGCGGCACTGTCAGCAAGTACAATACTTGAAGTAGAACCCCTGAATGGTTGAGAAGGCTTGAAAGTTAGCCGGTTTGCTAAAGAAAGCTTCAAAGAATTCGTAGACCTCCAGGATAATGCTTGATAGGATCCTCAATCGAATTCCCGTTAGCTAAGAGAAAAACCGCCGCCGTGTAAAACGATAAAAGGCGAGAGGCATAAGGGCCCTACGTTTGCCGCATACATATGTCAGGTTAGTTTCGTAAATAACCTAGTATAGCATCAAGTGAACTCTCCGTGCTTAATTCGTATTGCAAGGAGCTTGTATAGAATATATCGCGGGAGCTCGAGCTCCGGGAGGGGGATACGAGGCAATAATCTGCTATAGCTACGTACTACGTACTAGTAAGTCAAATTTAAGTTCGTCCTATACCCCTAGAAGACCGGAAATTCGGGGACTTGCTAGGGAAATACAGTTTTGAGGTTAATACCGCGCCTCTAAAGCTGCGACATCAAGTCCCATTATTAACGAAAAATGAGTCTGGCGAGTCATTATACATCTACTTATAGGATCAGGCCTACGTTAGGCGTGCAATTAGAATTACCAAGGGCCTGACTTAGCCGTGTGCCGATAAGGCAAGCTGTCGGCTATTCTTACTCATACGTTCCGTTTACGCTTATAGAGAATACCATCAGCGAACTCTTATTCCAGAATCCTTAAGGTGTAAGTTTTCAAAGAAGATGTTATTACTGACTTAGCGTTAATAATGAAAGTCTTTTTTATATGCTGGAATCTATACATAATCTTTTTCTCTTTAACCTAGCATCTGACTTTTTAGCACTCAAATATTGTATCGTCCTTCTGAACATGACGCATTGCCCGACGGGTACATAGACACTCCATTCACCTGCTACGATAGCTCCATTCGTATTTAGCATTTCAAGCAGTTTTCCTCGTCTTATATCAGAGTACTCAGCCCGAATACGGGATGGATCTGCGGGCTTGACGCAGCACACGCTTGTACTACGTCGCAGGCGTAAGTATTACCCCTCGAGGGTAGGGAAAACAGGGGGTTTAAAGTGGAAACTAAACTTTTAAGGCACCCTCGAGGGGTAATACTTAGGCCTGTACCGTGGTAGGTTGAGATACCGGTAAGTAGGTTCTCGATCTGAAAAGTTAAAACATTTCATACCCTAGCCAAGAGCTGAACTCAATACAAGGTTAACCTAATCTAAAGATGAACAGCCGAAAGGTTTTTGCCCTGCGGATCCTGCGTTTCACGGGTGCTGAGACTGCAGAAAGTCTTTTTTTCTTACTGTACTGTATTACCGGTAGCTGTGTATCGATAAATATATATCAGGATTTAAAGTTATTTTCTCTTGGAATGAGCCCGGCAGCATTGGCAGGGTACGTAGGTGCCACGTAACGTTAGGCGAATACAACACGATACTCTGTGAGCATCTCTGCTAACGGCAATTGTTTTGAGGGTACTGAAGAACCATTTCCGCTACTAAAGCATTGTCAGCTCTGCAGGCTTGACTCGGTCACGTATCCCAGATAGGCTACATTTCTTTACGAATCCCCTGGAGTTCAGGAGTTAGGAGGCTAGAGATCAGTCTGAATACCAACGGAGCATTATCGAAACCTCGAATACGGTAGTGTTTCCCTGTCATTGTAAACGTAACAAGCATCACGCGCGCGCTATGGTCTCCCGGGCTGAGTCGATGATTGCCTCTTGAACAAGATGTTTCCGACGGGTATTCGGCATCAAGCAGGGTTTCTCTTTCGAAATGATTAGTAGTACCGATCAACATCAATCCTTGCTGGCACTCCTACAAAGGTACAGCGGTTAATCATCGTAACCTTCGTCGATCCACGGCTATTGTTTCTAATCCACCTAGGCAATACGTGATCGCTAGGCACGGAATTTTAAAGAACCTCATTTTAATAGTATTACGGCTAGTAAGAGCAGTATTACAGTAGCTATCAGACGTACGCTACGTAGTATGAAAGAAAGACGCGGAGAGGAAAGAACTATAATACAAGGCCGAAGGTATATGCATCCTTTCAGGCAGGATGTCATGTGACCTCGGCTGAGTAATCCAACCCTTTCAGCAGAGCCCTTTGCTCGGACTGTAATACTAGGTATCTTTTCCTTCGAAGAATTGCGTCTGCGCAATTGCAGTTGTAAGTCGGCCGTCTTTTAGCTCGCTGTTACGTTACTGGCAGACCTCAGGCTCTATGGATAGGTAATCTTAAAGAAAGCTAGACTTTCCTCGAATTGCTATCGCTGCAATTCGACTTTTATTTCCGCTTAGACTGCTTTTACTGCAATGGATAACCTTTTCTTTTCGAAAAACCCTTATATATATACCAAGCGATATGTTAAAGGAATTGTATAAGATTAAAAGACTACAATGGCAAAGAACACTGTTACGATAGTAGCGGCGCTACTTCGTAAGGCAGATCACGAGGCCTGGGACACGGGTATGGGTTACACGTTACCTCGTGACCTTTGGGTTTTGGCATGCTTGCTTATAAGACTTATTTTCTTGTACCTAATTCTCCTTTTCTCTTCTTCGTCTTTCTTTCTTACTCTAAAGCGTACTCTTAAGTAGCAATATAATAATGCCTGTCGGTTCCTTACTCATTGAACTACGAGTCATTGACCTACGGATCATTAGACTACGAGTTAAGAGAGTAGAATAGCAGTGGAGATCGATTGATTACTTACCCTGGTGATTACCCCTTTAATATCTACCGAGCTACGCGAGGTAAATACCCTGGACTACTTTCATCTCGGAGCCTCAACTTCCGAGATGCACAGCTTCTTCGGAGCCTTAACTTTCGAGATCTACAGCCCCCTCTTAACTTATTTGATAAATCTTATACATTCTTTCAATGAAGCATATTCTTGGTTAGAAAAATCAATTAAGATTCATAATCCATTTTTCAGTACTCTCCCCCCTTATGAATAAATGTCGGACCCAGTTTAGGCCTATAACTCATAGAGCGGTGGTTTCTTAATGGCTCAAAGCCCTGTCAACTCCACTGTATAGGCTAAATACTGGCTCAAAGATACTTTTTAAAGCTGAATCTTTATAAGTTGATTGGTTTAAGCCCTGGTAAGATTCCTTGCGAAATTATACTTTCGACATTTATTTATGGGGGGGGAGAGTACTAAAAGAAACCTTAATTTTCTTATTGCAATTACCACGGTATATGTCGGACTACTGGCACGGTGGATACGTGAAGAGTATAACACGTAAGGAGGCACGTGCTGCCGTGGCTCCTGCCCTCTTAAAGGGCAACCCACTTTGTACAGAGTAAAAGAATCATTAATAAATACAATAACAACACGACTGATTAATCACTTACTCTTCCTTGTGACTTACTAACACTAATCAATAGTTAGTAATAACTACAGATTCGCAAGGTTCCAAAAGAATCAAATTAAGTCTAAAGCATCTGCCGCTAACCTTGAATTTAAGCTAAAAGTTACTGACAATTAATAACAACTAAGTAGCTTAAGAATTAAACAATTTTAAAAGAAGAACTAGTTTTGCGTTAATCACGCACGAGAAGAAAGAGCAGCAGATAACTTCGAAAGAAGACTTAACGCTACTTCTTATTATCAAAACTGTTCTTTAAGCAACTAAAGCCAGCAGTTCCCCGCTTACCCTTTCTACTCACTTTCGAATCAGCTCCTTTACACAGATTCGATAAACCTTACTTCACATCTAAACTCGACCTTTCCCTTTTCTTTCGAAGTATACTACTTACACTTACTGCACTACTCCTTTACTTACCGCAATCATATCATAACACTTTCGTTATCTTTCGTTGCAATCGCAACGCTTATATAACATTATGTTGGTTACACAATAAGGTGCACACGTGAGACTTGATACGAATGTGGTTGCATTCGTGGTGTTGTTAAGTCTGAGGGAGGGAGGAAGCTATTCTAGCTGCGAGGTGCAGTTACATGTGGGTGGTTGCTATGCCAAGGGTGCACGGGCCATTATGTAGTTGCTATAGCAAAGGTGCACGGGCCACCCTTATCCTCGATAGAGTCTTTAACTCCGATCCCTTCATTCCTACACTCGCAATTTTCTCTTTGCAATTGCAATAGTTGCAATTGCAATTGTAATACAAGTAAAAATAGCTCCCTTATTCCTAACGTTGTCGGTTAAAAAAAATCTTATATCATTGTTCCTTTTGTTTTCGGCCTGACTTTTTTATGCTTTCTCCACCTACCCTTCGACACGTACGTTGGCCTTGTTCGTATTAATAAAGGTCGCTAACGACTTATTTAAGTTGATTTTCGTTATAGAGTCGGCTAAATTATCTTTTCTTTTAATCTATCTGACTTCTGCAAGCTTTCGGCGCTCGTATGATTGTTTAAAGGCTATAATGTCGATTATTAAGCGCTTCTCTT